TCTCTCTCTCTCTCTCCCTCCCTCCTCCCTCCCTCCCTCCCTCCTTCAAAATGAACAATGTTCTATTCAAAATTTTCTTTCAAATATAAAAACGTATCCAAACTGTCTAAAGTCTGTTTTATAATCATAAATACTTTTTTTTTTCTTTTTATATGGAATCAAAATGAAAACATACAATTTTTATAGTCCAGTGCAGTCAAACACAGACAAAAAACATCAATGTGGCTCATGAAGCTAACGATAATCTCACAACTTATTCTATATTCTTTAATTATTTCAGTATTTTGTACACAGTATTAGAACAAAATCAAATCAATTCACATTCATTGAAATACTCAAGCAAAACCGCAAAAGAATAATCATATGTCATAATTCATTCACACTAATTATTCAGAAGTTCTTTATGGTGTGTCTCAAGAACAGATGTTCACCTTCTGTGGCAATCTAAGTGCTAAATACATTATACAACTGGAGCAGAAAGAGTTATCTGAATAAAACATTCAATAACAATGAATAACTTTTGAGAAACAGAAATATTGTAATGGAGTGTAACAAATGATGGCGTTAAGATATACAAGTCAGAGCATGACTATAAAATGGAGCAAAAAAAAGTTCTACTAACAGTATCATTAAGGCTAAGGCACAAGATTTTGATCAGTATTTGGGCATGTCATCTGGGTTGTTGGGTGGTGTCTCCATGGGGGGTCCCGTGGTGTCTGCCGGCCCCCCGGAGGCTCCAGTTGTCGCTGCAGCTCCTCCACCCAGAAATGGGATTTTCCCTGCACGCCACAAGGAGATGAATCCGACCACAAAGATGAACAGCCATCCAAATGTGCTGATCCATGCTCCAGCCTGATAAAGGAAATGGCAAACAAATTATAAACTGAATCACTGTTATGGTCTCCCAATAAAAACCCCTCTAACTGTTTTCCAAGATTGGTTTTAACACAATTTATCAAATAAAAACAACTTCAGTATCCACAATCTTGTTCAAGTAGGAATAAATTTTGTTAAGAATGGGATTGTTGTTTTTGTTTATGTAGAGGTTTTATGGCGCTCGCAACTGCATAACGCCATATGAGCGTCAAGGGGTGGATGTCAACAGAGAAGTCCTTACAGGAAATCACACTTACTCTGCTCACCCCTCTAGCTTCAACAGCACAAAGTCTGCTTCGACTATAAAGGCACCCCGGAATTAGCGGGTCACAAGAGTGTGACAAACATACAAAAGAAGTAGAGGAAAATGACGATAGTAAGGATTAGGAAAGAAAAATCAGCAGTTCCCTGTTGTAGTTCAGGCACAGTTATGAGCATGACATTGTCGGATCAGCCCATTTTTTACAATTCTACTGTGCATTAGAACGAGAAATGTCCCCCCTTTGGGAATGGCCTAAAGACACTTCAGTCAGTGGCACTGCCCCGGGGGGTAAGAAATAAGATTTTTTGGGGGGGGGGGGGGGGGGGGGGGGTGATAGGGGGAAAAATATGCACATACATGAATATCCAAAGGACGATTCTCTTGCTAGGATCCAAGGTCCTAGTTTAACTTAACTCTTAATATACAGAAGGTTATTCCACCTTTGTATGCTGCCAAATTTTGTCATATAGGTTTTCAGTACCACAAACTTCCCTATAACTTCCCTTTCAATTAACCTATTTGCATAGAAGAAACATGAAACTGAGTAATAATAAATTATCATTACAATGAACATTAATAGGATTTTAGATAAGCTTGGTCTGCTAGGAATTTCTAGATTATAATAGTTTTGACTGTAGGCTTTTTGTAGTAAACAACAGAGAGATGCTGGGTGCCACCTGAACTGCTCACCGCATACTAGGAGTTAACTTGCTAACCAAGTTAAAGAATAGGGTGAAATGAACGCTATATATTTCAAATAACAATAATAATAATAATAATAATAATAATAATAATAATAATAATAATAATAAAGATGGTGATGATGATGATGATAATAATAATAAATTATAGGCCCCTGACAGGATTCGAACCCACGACCTTCCAGTTGCGACTCTGAGGGCCTAACCACTCGGCCACCCAACTGTTGATAATAGAAGTCAAAGGACTCATTGGTATATGCCCTTACCAGACTCTTCACCATTGTACAGATGTATTGAAAATCTTTAGTGTTCTCCCAAACTAGTCCACAGCCATTTTTCTACTGGTTTATAGTAGGAGGTTTCATTAAAAAATTCGAAAACCATTAATTAGACCAAGATACATGTCAGTACCTAGAGCTAAAAGAGCTGAGCTATATTTTTTGTTTTAAACAGCATGAGGATTGGATAAATGGTTCAAAAGTTAATCTAAGCAAGTTTTTTGTTGTGAATTAGCGCATTTTTCGGGGATAATTAATTTTTACTTATATAGACAAGAGGATGGCACCAAATTGTGCTAAATGAGGCACGAGAAAGACAACTTAGCAACAGTTTTCCTAAATTCAAAGAAAACATTGCCTGCAAAACATATGACAATTATAATTAGGCCGGCACTATTTCTCCGAACGTTCGGGAAAATAAAGCTGGGCACTATTTCTCCGAACACTCTGAAATCACACCCTTTCCCGCATATTTCGGATAATAAAAATAAAATATAGATCTCTAATTATATTATAGGCCTACCAAAGATTGTTCGTATACAATATGGTTCAATCGGTCCAAAAAATGTCCGTATTTATATAAAGAAATGCTACAGTTCCAAACAGTTTTTCGCTACAGATATGACGTGTGGCCTATGAAGGGTGCTGCTCTTAAACTTAATGTGTTGCGTTCACTCGTGAGCTGTCTAGATCTAGATCTATGGAGGGTTATTGATAACGACACATAGAGCTAGCATCTGCGTTTGTCGAGGCCGCGACCAATCAATCGTGGCTCGATTTTTTGGTCCCCGAAAGAGTCAACAAAAAAAAAAGAAAATGAACCTCTTTACTTTTGAAAGAAAGTTCACTTAGCTTCACTTCGTCTCTTTCTCACTTGTTGTCACCACGTTGATTTGTTGAATACGTCACAGATACATACGATTTGTATTGCTGTTCCTCTTTTATTTTTCGTTTATTTTTCCCTCTTTGTGGTGTTATATTTTGTTGGTGTGTATTTTTTTTTCTTGATGTGTTGTTTTTCTATTAATTTTTTTGGGGGGGGAAAATGGGGGGGGGGGGTTTGTATAGTGTAACGTCATTTAATTTGATGTTTCTACAAAAGGTATTGTGTAACGTCATTTAATTTGATGTTCCTACCTTCATTAGATTCTAAATATATATATATACCTGTATATCTAGATTTAAATGTGCTATGTTAGAGCGTTCCACCAAAACCAGTTACATGTACAGACACTGGCAGGCCCCCTGTGTGTGATTCCATAATTTCCATGCAATATCCTGTACTTTTTTTTACAAATTACGCACATTTAGGGTTAAAACGGTCAATCTTCTTCGGACAGGTGGACACACGCCCTTATTTGTTAATTGTTGTGGTTGTTTCTGGGCTGTTCTAGTTTTGATTTCATTCTGTTGTGAAACCTTTCTTTTTCAAGTTTTTACACTCATCTAAAAATCTCTAGACTAGATCTCTAGCTCTTGAAAATTGAAATAGATCTAAACCCAAAAATTTGCTCCGTTTTTTTTTTTAATGGACGATAACCGTCCACTCAATAGAAAAGAGGGTCAGATCAAATAGGCAAACAATCACGACCAGAGCGGAAGCCGGAAACCGTTCGGAGAAATAAAGATCGGCACTATTTCTCCGAACGTTCGGAGAAATAGTCACTTCGTTATAATTATCTCCAGAAAGGTTATGTAATGGCCTACATGATAAACAAGGTGTTACCAAAGATAGTAGTACAAGACAAGATGGGCCACTTCTCTCTTTGAGCCAATTAAAAAAGTGTCCTCAAAATTTGGTGGCGCCCTCTTCACAAAAGCGCACTCTTTGCGAACAGAGTTATCCTACTTGAGTTTTAAAAAATCAAAGTGAAACTAGCAAGTTTTGGGATAAATTTCGGAAGAACGCTTTTTAAAAATGGTTACGCTGACAAAAAACCTCTTCCGGAGGAAAAGGAGATGGTTTTCTTCGTTTAATTTGACTTTAGAATGAAGGGCGAGAGGTCATTAAAATTTTTAAAAACCTTTAACTCCGCACTGAACGTACCCGAACTGCTGATGAACAGCAGTCGATCTGCGCACGCAAGGAGGTGCTATTCCTATTCTTCTTCTGGAAAAACGAAAGAGAGCTTCAAAACAGACTGCAGCGCCATCTGAAGCAAAGAGCATACTTCCTGCGGACACTTTTTAGGCTGAGTGGCCCATCTTGTCTTGTACTATCTTTGGTGTTACATAATATGTAAAGTCATGTGACCAAATATGGCCGCGAATATGGCCGCATTTGATTAAATCCACAACAGATTTGGACTTAAAAGAGACATAACATTAATCTTTTAAGTCAAAAGTGTACAAAAGTAGATAATTTCTTAATCAGCATGACTAGCCATCTAACGAACTGTAAAAAAAACAACGACAAATCAATTTTATTTTTTTAAATCATATTTTACCCCGAAAAAAAGAATGTAGTTGGGCACGGACAACACGAACACAGAAAACTGAAAATCTTGAATAGCTCGTGCAAATTGCCTTTCCCTGACTGATGTCTCTTCCATTTTTAATCCCCATTAGCCTTTAACCCGAATTATGGATGTGTCGAAGACATTTCTGTGTGCCCCTGTCAATATCAGTCGTAAGACGCAGTGTGCTATTATCAGCTACGATGCTCGAAAGGCAAAAAAGTGACTTGACATGAAATTTTTGTTGGGTTTTTTTTTATTTATTGAAATGTTGATGTCTTCTGCTTCATTTAAGATAAAAATAAACAACTATAATCTACTATAACTATTTTATTTTGGAGGTGTGTGTGGTTGGTTGTGAGCTTTGAGGGACGAGATAAAGGAATAATTGGCCCTTGCTAGTGTGTAGCTGTGAGATTATTTTTAGAACCATAACCCCATGGCCACCTTTGCTTTAACGTTCTTCATTCGTAACTATTTCTAGATTTTGACCCCTTTTCGATCATGAATGGTCTGAAATGTAAACAACTCTAATTGGTAAAACGGAGTAAAAGCGGTAATTTCTAGCCCATTCCAAGCTTGTTTACGTGAACAGCTGACTGTGTGGGCGTGCCCTGCTAGCTGTTATCGTCTGTTGATCTTTCAGTTCTACACTTGGATTGACTTTAAAATTTTGTTTTTATTGTGTTTTAGAGCTTTTATAAGATTAATTAACCTTCCTCTAAATCTCTCAAAACGGACTCCTTACTAAGAGCCAGCGAGGCGGTCTATATGTGCATATGTGTGTATGTACGTTGGTGTGTGTGTTTGTATGTGTGTGTGTGTGTGTGTGTGTGTGTGTGTGTGTGTGTGTGTGTGCATGAGTGTGCGTGTGTGTGCGTGTGTGTGTGTGTGTGTGCGGGTGGGTGGGTGGGTGGGTGCCCTCGTGTGTTTATGGTGCTATTGCAAACGTAAAATTTGGTAGCGTATACACGGCACCAGAGCCGACTCGCGGCATTCCGAGCGCGTGGTTTCGATAAAATGGGGGTAATTCAGATCTTTGTTTCTTTGCTCTTTTGCTATTAAACACCAAATGCTGAACACTTTGAAAAGTTCCGATTTTCTTCGTTACAATAGTGTAAGTTGTTTGTATATCCAAGTATCCAAGTATTTGGAGCCGGAGAATCGCTGTGGAAAGGGAAGCCCCTCGCAGTCGGAATGCGAAGTCAGCCAGTTCAAAACTGACATCCATGCATTCGATTGCTTTGCAGAGAGATTGATGATTAAATACATACCGCTTTTTCATTGACGGAGAACTATACAGCTTTGAGCGTGATTTCCTGCGGTTATTGTTTTTTACCTTTCGCGTTTGGATAGAAAACATTGAAAATAAGCGTTTTCAAATATCATTTTTAACACGAAATGTCTAAAATATCGGCTAAAAAGGTACCAATAGAAAGAAAAGTTCTTTTTCTATTAGAATAAAGTCTTCAGCTGGGAATTATTTTCATGAATCCTTCCGCGAAACTAACAGGAGCACTCAGTACACTCCAGTATTGAGCGGGCTCGCTCGCCGCGAGGGCTGGCGCGGTGCCAGCCGGGACAACGCCCGGTGTTTTTATTGAAATAACGACAGACCATCGTGTTTGAGGCAACAAAATACTGATTTGTAATGATCTCACAGTCTTGAAAAAAAAATAGGCTTCATTTCTTTGTTATGATGATTGTACTTTGTTAATGAAGAGATGTTTGGTGCACTTTGTACTCTTTTACTATCCTTCAAGCATGGGGTTGCAGCCAGTTAGCGACTTCAGCAATATTTGATTATTGTGTTAAATTGAATTAGCTGCCATTCTCTTAAACATTGAGAGGTTAAAGTATGGTACCAAAATTCTCAGGAGATATAGGCCTTTCATGTGAAACAGATGAATTTGACAAACAGCAACTTTGAAAATCTAGTATCTGGTACCTAGTATAATGCTAATAATATAGTAATATTTTGTTGCATTTGACGTGAGGTCCATTGTCGTGAAAATTCTGTTTTGTCCATAAGTTTTTTCTATGAGAATGAATAGTTTTCTACTTTTGCATGTTATTTTGTAGTGGCATAGCCAAGATTTAGCATAACTGCTAAATTTAAAGTCTCTATCTCAATTTTAAGACCCCAATTGCTATGGAAACTTGTTGCTCGACTTCGGAGGCCATTTTCTCCTTTTCATGTTTCCTCACCTCGCACAATTAAAAGTTCTGTATTTTCGTCAAATAGGGCCATATTTACTTCATTCTTGTTTTAAATTGTAGGGAAAAAGTGATAGTTTTTCAAAACAATGTTAACTCCGTTTTGAAATTTCTTTCATATTATATGACTGATATTGACTGGCATGGACACATTTGTTAATCCCCGATGTATTTGAATTATTTGTGCCTGACTAAAGTGATTTTGAATCTAATTCCATAAGAATGCCAACAGTCTTGAGCAAAAGTATACATTCTTTAGATCAGCAAAAAGTGATGCATCCAATGAGAGAGCATACAACCAAAGATCAGATGGATACAGAGGAAGAGAACCAGCGTCTGTGGTGTAGCGGCTAAGAGCTTCGCTGTCGGATGCAGGAGACCTAGTGTTGATTACCAAGAGGGGAGAAAATTGTTATCTAGTATCTCTGTCTTCTACTGTGATGTTGTATCTCTCGCAGCCCACGTTGGCCCTAACAGACAGGAAGGAGGTGTAAAAACACCTACATTTAATTAATTTTTAAAAAACACACGAAGAAGCGGGGCAGGAAAGGCAGAATAATAACAATTATAAAACTCAGAAGACCAAGATCTCAGAGGAGATGTTTTCAACTGCTGAAGCAGTGGGAGAAACATTAAACAAAACCTTTATATATACAACCATACATAACAATCAAGAGAAAGATGTTTGCTTCTCCCCTCAACACCATAAGTATAAAAGGTAAAAGAGGCTGCAAAAGGTAGACAGAGTACTTAATAAGTAAACTGCCTACGATACCATGCCAATTACCAATTACCAGACCAACAATATTCTCACAGTCAACAACAAGATTGCATTTTTTTCATTCCACAACTGAAGTTCAAAGTAACATGGACTTCTGAGCCACTGAACTTGGCAACAGCAACAACCATATTATCCTTCTTCTGAAGAGCTCAATACAAATTATTTCATTTTCCCTTGTTGCCAGGTGAACTTATCATTAAGATTTTTCAATTTCTTTTTAATTCTGCACTCAATGACTACTGCTTAATGCAGCGTGAAACCCCATATTTATAGAGGATTTTTAGAAGACACATTTGAAACTTATGCAGTTCCTTAGGGAAAATTATTGACTTTGTTTAGATACATCCTTTTGTACAAGTTTAGATGGAAATCCCTCATCACTGAAAAGGTTAACGTTTTAGGATTAAATCCTATTGTCCCAGTAACCTATTTTCTCTTCGGATAACATTTTTGGGAAACAAAGATCCAAAATTTTTATATGCAGTTGATATGATATGACGAAGTGTGTCAATCTTGATTGAGCTTCCATCTCCAACAAGTTCAACAAGGCCAAGCCAAGAGAGTACTGAGCTGTAAAGAATTTCCTGGCAATCAGACAGTTACATTACGCGAGTGCCCAATGACAGGGGAGATGACTTTTGCCATGACTAGATATGACCACAATATTTTAAGGAGTTATTTCCCTTCACCCGAAACGTGACACTTTCTCGCAAAATCGCATAATATGGGAGAAAGGGAGCTCTCGCTGTGCAGTTGCCGAGTGGGTGTCATGCGCCATAAATTATGTAGTGTAAACCACGTGCGGCAAGTTCGCTGGTCACACGCTGGTGTGTTGCTTGGCAAATTTAGTAATTTACATTAGTTTAATAAGGAACGTTTAACTCAAGGCAGTCGGCGGGTGCCTGATGGCGGTTTAAAGGGGCAAATAGTATGTTTGTTTCCTACACCAGCAAAACCTGGAGATAAGCAGGGTTGGCTGTTTCACAGCTGGTAGAATAACAGGGTGTGACTGTTCTCTACTCCTTTCGTAGGACTTTCTATTGTTATATTCACATGGCCAATATGTAGTTGATTAATTGTTTTTATACCCCCCCCTCGTCCGTCGGTACGGTATAAAGAATCTTGTTCATCAAGTGTTCGACCATATACGAAACCAGTCTTGACTGATTATATTGTTAAACGTATAGAATAAGTGGGTGTCCATCACAGTATCAAAACAGTAATATCAACAATTTACTCATTGCTTTGCAACTTACAAATCAACCAGCTGCACAAGCTTACATCCGAAAAGAGTCAGGATACAAGGGCAGGGGCAGACCATGCAAAACAAAGCTGGATGGGGTTAAACACAAGAGGGCCCCCAAAAGAATACCATATCAACAACAGAAGCCTCCCAACTAGCCCTTGAACTTGAAGGAAAATTGACCTCCTCTCAACATTGAGGGAAACAGGAGCAGGAAGACTGAAGTATTAAGCATAAGCTTTGCAACTCTAGTGGAGTTCTACCGGTGAGTTAATGAGTCCACTTACCTGAGCAGCCTTGGAAGCAGAGTACCAGGCCGTACCATCACATTTACTGGAACAGAAAAAGAAATAGAAAACGATACAGTACTTTTATTGATTCTGCAAGAAAAATAACAGCTCAAGGGTATTGCTTCATCTTTAGAAGCTCCAAATAAAGAAAACAGCAGAATTTTTTAGTCCGAGATTTCATTTCTTCGTATTCTGGGAGCTTTTTTTAGCCAAAGCATTTTATTTTTCTAATTCATGGAACTGGCTCCTTGTGGCTGATTTGTGTGCGTAAATATAAGGTGGGTGTGGTAAATGCAGATGAAGTTTTGTTCAAATTTCACAGTTTGGTTTGTTTGAGTATTTTTTGTTTTTTGTTTGTTCGTTTGGTTGGGGTTTTTTTGTTTGGTTTTTCTGTTGTTGTTGCTTACCCTATTACTATTAGCACTCAAGGAAATTGATGCTTGCCACGGAACAAGACATGTCATAGTCAACCAAATTTCTTCAAAAGTTGTTTATTTGTTTCAACTGTTTCTTAAGTACAGTAACTTATGAAAATCCTGTTTATTAAATGCTGAGATACATTTCAGAGAGAGATTACTTTCTATGCCATCTGCACCAGTTATCTAGTCAGTTATCCAATCACTTTCTATTTGATCTCAGAAACAGTAATTTAACTGGCAAACCTCATAAGAGACTTAAAAGTAATACATGTATCTAACGAAATGTACATGATTTACATGAATTAACATTACTTAGCTGACAAACAGATGGACTGAAAAAGTAAGAGGAGACTTTTATTATACTCACAAAGTGTCACACGTGTCATTGGTACCAGCAGACAAAATGCAAGCTCCGATGAAGGTCAAGAAGAAAGCACAGAAATCTGTGACAACATATGCCAGTTCCATCATATCCGTGAACAGGACAAAGCTGCAATTACACAAACACACAATTAAAATGAGGATTGCTTTCTTACTTCTATTAAAAGACAATAATTTCATCACCTGTACACACATGTAATATATATGCAAACTTGTAGCTCAGTGTGCGGAGAGCAGTGTGGAATGAGCTAATATACCTATGACGATTTCTATTCATGCTAAGAAATCATTGCTTTCCTTTTCAGCACTGCTGCTAGATTGCACTACTTGTCAAATTCATGTTATTTAGACAACAAACTTTCTGAGATGGCTAAAGATCCTTTTTCCGTTTAAGGCCATCCTGAAAACAATCCTGATTGGATCCATTTTGTATGTGACAAAGTAGTGGGCAATACCTTCAGTCTCAGTCACACCTCATCTATGAAACTAACTACCAGATGTTTAAAAAAATAAAAAAGAGAGAGGATCCATTTAAACGACAATAACTCAGTTATCTTTAAAAGAATTTAAATAAAATTTCGCAGAAATAAAATCAACTATTAGTACATTATATTTGTCAATAAGAAAAAAAATCAATCCATTTGTTCGAAAAATATCAAATTTTTTCAATTTCAACCAAAATTGACTGAAACGCAAAACTGTGCAACTTCTTAACGAATAAGCAATATTGGACTCTTTCAAATAGTCACTATTTGTGCATTGAAGAACAAATTTATACAAAATTAATATCGCTAAACAAGTCAAGAAAGGTCTCCGCTATTTAAATCTCCAGATGCAGACCATTTACTTTCCATACAAGCTCTTATGCGCCATTAGAAATTTTGAATAACCCTATGGCATGTTTTTGGGTTGATTCTTTGGACATCCTGATCAACACTGCCTCTTAATTGTTCATTGCTTGTAGGTTGTTTCCCTAGACTCTGTCTTTTAAAAACTCCCAAAGGTTATAATGAAGGGCCCCAAGTTTGGGAAAATGGGGTAACTTAACTATTCATTTATAAATTTTTGTCTTATAAGGCGTTCCCCAAACCTTTTTTGCAACCATATCAGTATTATCAGGGCCACTCTTGGTGTGTGGGCTGTGGCCCGATCCCACTGGAACCAGGACTCTACAGCATTACCCCTCCCCAAACCTCTACAAAACATTCTCGGCACGTGTAGATATCTGTCTGAGGCGACTGTTGTGGTTTCCGCATTCTTGTCCAGAAACCCAAATGGGCCGATCACGTCCCTTTTGTGTTTTACCCAATTTTGGTAGTTTAAAAACTTGATATGATTTTCTTCATATTATTTAAAAACATGACGTCCTCATGGTAACTTTTGTTGAAATTAGTGTTGAGATGACCGGCTTATTACCCTTTCTTAGTGGGTTCTCTTTTTTTTTAGACACCCTGTACCTGTATTAAAACGCGCACACACAAGGAGCTCCAGTGGTCGAGGGGTTATAAGTGAGCTCGAGCTCACAAAAAAATGCCAAGTAATGTTGACAACAACACAGTTAACATATGGGCAATCCCTGGGGATGTCTTTGAGCAGGACATGATAGCTTTAACTTAAGAGCAGGGCTCACAAGGCAGAAACCAGAAATTCAGAGATATTGGGAAAACTGTTTTCAATGGTTACTCGTAAAAATAAAAGAAATTTTTACGATTTTCACTCAAACGTTTGTTTTGATTTTTCTTAACCCTGGATGTCGTAGAGGGGGGGGAGGGGGGGGGGGGCGCTACAGGTAAAGTGTTGCCTCTCATGCCAAACTACATAGTTTATTTAAGTCCCTGTAGCGGGAAACTTCATGGGGTATTCTCAGATTTTGCACACCATGATCCCAGGACAGTTTGGATCCTACATCTACTCTAGTTTGTTGTTTTTTTGTTTGGTTTTTCAGATAATGGCAAAAGACTCGGACGTCTTCTTTGAATATTTGGTATGTTGGAAGACATCTTCAAATCCGAAGCCACAGAAGGGTATGCTTTTGCAAGCTGACTTCCCAGGAAAAATCTCTAAATCCATCCCAAAACAGAAGAAGCTTTGTTCACCATAAATGAAAAAGAATAATAATATAGTCAAGTAAGGCTCTTAAAACAAGATCTATCTGATAGATGACAGACAATACATTCCAGGAAAAAAATAAACCATTACAAAGAAACCAGTCACCCTTTTCTTTGAATAAACTACAGACAAGTAGCCCTCACCCCAAGCAACTTTCAAGTAGACTTGCCCAAACACACATTAGCAAAATAACTATCCAACAAGAGCTTACTCCGTGGTGAATTTGCCCAATAACAACAATAACAGGGTGGCAATCCGAAACAGCAAAAACAGCAACTGAAACATAATTGCTATGGCCATTGGGTAGTTGCAGTTGGAGGATGGTCCCGCTCTTCGATCGGAGCCAATATAAAGTGGACAACCACCAGCTTCATCCTGGAGAAGAGAGAGAGAATTATTTACCTTAAGAATAAAATTTCCATAAATGAGTAACACTCACCTAGTACTGATTTTATGCAGCGACAGCAAGAAAAGCATGACCATCCTGCTCAGTGAGTAACACAGTTGGAAGATGATGGAAATAGCCACAGGGAAGATGCAGTTGGCGTCAGATGGTTCTTCCACCAATCTACCTGACACATCCAAGTAGAGTATACAGAACCCTGCCTCTCCCTGAGAGAGGGGACAAGAGAATGCCAACAGCATTTTCACAGCCTCAGAGCAGTGCCTCAACAGATGACCAGATGCATGTCAATAGAACCTCATTCGTGCAGTGAGAGGACAATGCAGCATCAATGGGCATTACAACTGTGAGGCATTTGTCCAATACTAATACTAGACCTAATGCGTGTCAAAAGAGCCATATTCATGCAGTAAGAGGGTGGGAAGACCATGAGGATTCTACTGATAACACAGATCAATGTTCCAGTTGCTCAACAGAATAAAAAACTAACATGTCAAAACAAAAAGCTTGTTCATGCAGTGAGAGAATAAGCCGGTTTCACTGGTAAAACACAAACTTAGCACTGTCTTGCTCAAAATACAATGAACGCTTTATTGTTACAAGAACGTTTTCCATGCAAAGAATGTATGGTATCCTTTTTCATTCACAATTTCAAGAATGGGATTGATTAGGGACTGGGGGGGGAGAATGTATTATATATATATGTTGACACTACACTTTAAGGGTTTCATCTACTTACTGTGCAAAACTGTTTAGGCCTGTATTTTAATTGACGGAGGAAATCATTAAAGTAATAAATCATAAGTACTACTCTTTAAGGTGGAGAACTGTGCCCTTTACTTTTTCACTGAACAGGAAAGTAGTTAAACCTTGCAAAGGACACTGATTGGAAAACCATTTATTGACTGTAAGAACAGAATTGTTTGAAAAGAAAATATCACAAGTCAAGAAAGAAAATAATTATCAACCATTTAACCTCCAAATGTTGTGTGTACCACTTAATCATCACCCTTATAGTATAGTACAAGCCCAGAATGTCCACCCTCATGTCTGCTTTATGATCACTGGTCTCACTTAGAATGAAACTGTCCAAAGGTGTCCCACCGAAACTCTTTCAATATTATAATAAAAAAACTGCTTCAGCTCCAGTGACAATTTCTACATATACATCCAAACCCAAACTTCGACAATCACCTGCACAGGCACAGGGTTTTTTGTTTTAGTAAAATATTTTTTAGTTTTAGTAAGGGTTTTATGGCACTTGCAAAACCATAAGGTCATATAAGTGCCGAAGATTAGAGGTGTTACAAGAGAGTAACAAACACAAAAAAGAAAGAAGGGAGATAAAGACGACAGATGTTTGATAGGAAAGAAGAAGCAAACCACACCAGAGCACCCGCCAACCACCCACAATAAGAGTTTAACGGCCCTTGCAACACAAAAAGGTCATAGTTTAGTTTTAGTAAGAGTTTTACGGCGCTCGCAACTGCAGTAGGTCATATTAGTGCCAGAAGATTAGAGGTGTTACAAGAGAGTATAACCAAACATAAAAAAGAAGGGGAGATAAGGACGATAGATGTTTGATAGGAAAGATGGAGCAAACAACACCAGAGCACCCACCAACCACCCACACAGGCCCAGGAGCAGCTCAGTGAGTAAACCACCACTTTCTAGGTACAGCATGTATGTTGAAAGGGTATTAATCTTAATGACTGGAGGATGGACAACAACAAAAAAATAAAAATAATAATAACAGTTATAACAAGAAGACGAACAACAAGATGACCCTATCATGGAGTCAGAGTTATGGAAACCACACTGTTTACTATGAAAGAAAAGAAGTTAAAAAAAACTGAAGATAACTCATGCTATAAAAGCTACAAGGGCACGAACGATACCCAACAAAAACCCTGAATGTTGAAAAATGTCAACGTAGCGATTACTAGTTGGCTTACTCAGTGAAGACGATGTGTGCTACCCCACAAGACAGTAGGCTACTAGATAAGGATAACAATACTGAGTTTATTTCCTCTATGTAGAGTGGGTGTACAGATGACGCCCCACCCCCACCCCCACCCCCCGGGCTCAAAAAAGGTCATTATAAAACATGACTACTGGTCAAAAATATACATTACTAATTGTAATTTGCTTTGAAAAGCAATCAGTCAAAATGAATTTTTGAGAAATTCTGAAAGTTTCAAAGAGGTCTTTGCACTAGAAATATTCTACAATGAGGGAAAGAAACAACCCCTGGGGTACAAAATGACCATGGGGTTACGGATAGGGTTAACAACGAAATCTTAATTTCGTCCACATGCAGTGACAATGTACAAGTATATTGTCAGAACAAAAGCTACAATATTTCACATATCTACAAGATCCAGACTATGCACAGGTGCTGCTGCATAAAGCTGTCCCCGCAGTTTTATGCTCACAAAAAAAATGAAATTGTGCAAACTGACCCCAAAAATATGAAATTATGCCATTCTGTTAATTCTAACTAAGAATGACAAAGGAAAATAATCAGAAATTATGCCCCCCAAAAAATCAAATTTTGCGAAATTATGCAGGGTGCATAAAACCCCGGGGACAGATAAAAAAGCAGTCTGAAGATTTCAGTACAGTCGAAATTGTCCAAGACAGCAACCAATACTACCATAAGCAGACAAAACACCTTTTTTCATTTTAGCGCTAAATTTTTTGGGGGGGTTAAATCAGAAGCCTCATCAGTTATCCAACGTGTGTAAAAAATAGGCTAATAGTTAAGCTGTGGCTAGTTTTCTAATTAATTAGAATTAAAATTTCGGAAGAACGCTATTTTTAAATGGTTACACTAACACTGACAAAAGCTTCTTTTTCTCTAAACTGCTATGAATAAAAAAGGGCGTTTTGTCAGCTTACGGCAGAAGAGTCAAGAAGCAAAAGGGTTGTCTTAGACAGTCATTATAGCAATGCTAAACACAAAGGGGAAGTGGGGAGTTGGTTGTTTGTACAGATATTATTATCTTGGACAGGTGCCCGTTAGAGCAGGCTCGGTTCAACTGTATTCATCATTCAAAATATAGCTTGTTATTAGAATGCAGTCTGACATTACAGACAACACAATATTTCTGATTACCGAACTTGATACTTATTATAACTGTATGACAAGGCACTTGGTCTTGTTCTCTTGTGATTACTTTCATAAGCTACTACAATTGTCTTCTCCTGGCCTTATTAAGTAAACCAAACCTGTGGCCTAACAGAAGAGGCTATTTTTAGATGGGAGGTCAGTGTGGTAGTTCTTGAGATAATTATTTTAATACTGGCCTCTGAAAGGATGGCGCACTGCATCAAAAACACCAATATCATTAATGTGAAGCCTATCAGTATTGAAAATATTGCAGTTTCTTTTTCCTTATCTTCTTTCTTGAAAGAATACAGAAGGCAATAATGTCAGTTATGTGTATTGCGGACAGTCAATAAAACAAACCTTCATTACAGCAACTCCAACAAAAATGAAAAAGCTGAAAAAGATGAGGACTCCATAAGCCACGAGTCTCATTCGTAGGACCAGATTGGGATTGCTTAAAATATCGATGACAGACATGGTTGTCGATTCAGTTGAATGCAGATGCCAACAGAGAACAAGAAGTCTATTTGTATCCTGCTGTTCCACCTGTAGTAGGAACTCAAAAAGTCCCTTGAGAATCTGGTAGGAGACAGCAAGCCGTTCACAAGGTTTCTGTTAATTTAGAAGTAACACTGTGGCAGCACACTCGTAAGGGACACTTTGATGTTGGGATGTTGAATCACGTTTCGTACTCTGGGGAAGACAAAAAAGAGCAATAAAACGAAATTAGCAGTTTGTTCCGAATAAATATTATGGAAAGTTAATTTTTTGCGGCACTCGTTTGTTCACACGACAGTCTCACCACACTTGCGCCTATGGATAATGGACACACACACACACACACACACACACACACACACACACGCGGGCGCGCGCGCGCGCACAGACAAAACACATATACACACACAAACTCACTCACTCACATAAACACACACACCGACACACACACACACACACACACACACACACACACACACACACACACACACACAAGTTCGTGCTGCAAAATATGCACTGAGTGTTTAAAGTTCTCTCTCGTAACCCTACCACTTTTTGTCTATACCTTAGACAAGTCTGTACCAGACAGAGGCGCCCCCCGAGGAGGAGGAGGGGGAGGAGGACGAGGAGAGGACGAGGAGAGGACGAGGAGAGGAAGAGGAGAAGAGAAGAAGGAATAATGTAAAAACAATATTAATGGAGGATGCAACACCCCAGGAGACGGAGGGAGATATTTTTCCAAGCACAGGAATCGAACTGACGTTTTCTGCATCATCATCATCATAATCCGGTGCCCTGCCGACTGGCGTGAGCGATCATGGACCTCCACTTCACTCTCTCTTGCGTTGCAGCAATGGTGTCTGTTGTTCTTGCTGCTCCTAGCCATGTTGTCCTCTTGTCCAGTATCTTTTCCCTCCGTCTGCTTCTGTCTCTATTTCTATCAAACTTGCCTGTTGTTACAATATTCTCCAATGCTTCTTTCCGCATTGTGTGTCCAAAGAAAATTTGCCTGTCGCTTTCGTATAATTCGTCATAAGCTGTCTTCTTCAATTTGCTTCAACCAAGACTTCTTCATTTGTTTGTCTAGCTGTCCATTGGATACGTAGCATGCGTCTTATGAACCTCAACTCTGTCGCGAAAATTGTTCCTTCCAGCTGTTTATTGATTGTCCATGCTGCGCACCTGTATAATAGGATTGGCTAGATGTAACTTTTCAGTACTCTTTTTCTCGTTTCCATAGATTGATGTTTGTGAGTATCTGTTTCATTTTGTGGAAGATTGCTTTTGCTTGGCAAATGCGCCTTTTTATTTCGGTGTGACATCTCCCATCTGATGATATAATGGTCCCCAAATATTTAAAATGTACTTTACTGCACGCAACGGCCAAATGCCTAACCGCTGCACAACAGATGTTGATGCAAAGCAGATAGGCAGAAACAACAGACTAGAAGTAGAAGTAGAAGGGAAAGAAGTAGGACCTACCAGTGGCGCCCTCCGACCATCCGCTGTATTAGATCAATGTATGGAGCAATCAAAAAATCCTTACGCATCGGTAAAGCGCCTAACCACTACACCACAGACAAAACCAGTTGGTGCGTATTTTTTCTCCAAAACGTTAGGGTGCATGTCTTATTTATTAGCTGTATTCCTTTCCGTTTTTCGCAACCACTATACCAATCCTGTAGAACTTGTTTGAGTAATAGTTCAGTGGGCCCATTAAACACAATAGAAGGGATTTAAATGCAAGCCAGAAGTGAACTTTCGAGAAAAGCTAGGTTAACTATAAACAAAATAATAACGGTTTGTTTGTTTCAAGGCACTTACATAATGATGAAAGATCTCTGCCAAGGCTTATTAATAGAATTGAACATTCACCATTGCTTGTCTGGAGGAGAAACACAATGATATTATTGTCGACCCCGTCGTCGTCGTTGTTGTTGTTGTTGTTGTTGTTGTTGTTGTTGTTGTTGTTGTTGTTGTTGTTGTTGTTGGTGGTGGTGGTGGTGTGGTT